GAGCCCCTTTCTTGAGTTTCAATCCTGGGCCCCCCATTGTGTAGCCATATGTTCTTATACCAGTAATTAACTTCTCTTTGCCTCAGTCTCCCCACTTACAAAATTGGGATAAGAATAGGGTTTTGTGAGGTTTAAATGAGTAAATACATGTCCGTTACTAAGATTAGTGCCCAGCATATACCCAGGATGTGTTTGCTATTATTTTTAAAATTCATCACCAGAATGTTTAAAATCTTTTACTGAGTTAAAAAAACATTCTCAGGTCATAGCTTCAAATCTCTAATGTTGATGTTATAATTGAAGAAAAACGGAGATGGCCTGCATGTACCAAAACCCATTTCCTTGAACGTGCACTATGTAAATGGAATTGAATTAAGCCACAAGCATATTCTTAATGACTAAAGAAGATGCTTTTCAATGCAAACAATTAAATTTTGGGAAAGAAGCCTTTGCCACTATTGTTCCTACCACTAGCACAGGCTTACCGAGCATTTAATATATTCTGGGCTGGAGGGATATACGTCCCCAGGTCCCCAAGTGCGGCCTCTTAAAAAAATATAAACTTTGCAGAACAAATCCCTTTATTTAAAGGATTTGTTCTGTAAAATTTGGATTCAGTCAAAAGATCACACTCAAGCATCCAGAAGGCCAGATGTGCCCCAAGGCCACAGGTTATCACTGCTGGAAGGTCTAGATAGTGTTATTCCTATTTTGCAGGTGTGGAAACTGAGGCACTGAAAAGTTAAATAATTTGTTTTCAGTGCATAGGTAGTGGGTAGGGGAGCCAGAATTAAGCTAAGGTAATCTAATTCCAGAAGCTGTGCTCCTGGTAAGTCAATGGCATGAGTTTCTTTCCTAAATTGATTGTTACTCCCCAAACTAGCTGTTATCTAGCTTCTGATTTTCTTAGTATGAAGTACATCTGTGGTCAAATGAAGACCAAATTATCTGGCTGTGTAGTATTAATACTCACATCTATTAAAATGGTAAAATATATATATTTCTGCATTTAGGGTGTTTCTTCCTTTGGGTACAGATAGTGCATAAGGATAATCTACTAACTCGTTTTTTCATACTGCAATGTACAGCCTAAGCTTTTCAAAACAATGAACCCATAATAAAAGTTGCTACATCAATGTCCTACAGTATACAAGAGCAATTCATGTGCACATGAATGTATTTTGCAATATTACATTTTATAATGCTGAATGCAAAGTGGATATGACGCTCATTTTTGCTTTTATGACCTCTCTGTGTATAGAAAGGTGGATCTGGGGCCACCCTTCCCTAGACAATGAGTATTAAGACTTTATTAAAATCAATATTCAACAGAAACATGGCTGTTTATTTTATAGAGAGGGTTAAAGCAAAATGAAAAGGGTTGGTCATGGAACACA